ACGAGTCTCATTAAGTGTCCAGTTTAAGGGTATTACACAGAAACATACCAAGGGGACATGAATCAAATATGCATCTTTATTCATTTACAATAAACTCATAAAGTACGTCATTCTGATTGATGCTAAGGGCATACAAAACTGTCTAACAAGAGGTGCATGCCTGTGCCTCTAGGTGAGGTGCCCCAAAACACCCTGAACAAAGGTATTGATATCTCTGTGGCGTACACCTCAGGTGTAAGAGGCATATGCGTCAGGTGCCTTGCATGCCTCAGGTGCCACATCATACCTCATGCAAAAAGATAGAAAAAAAAATGAAAATAAAGGAAAGGAAAAGAAAGGGAAGGGAAAAAAGAAAGAAAGAGAAGAAAAAAAGAGAAAAGAAAGAAAAGAAAAGGGAAGGGAAAGGAAGGAAAAAGAAGGAAACTTAATCATCCACCTCCTCCTTCCTCCTCATCCCCCTCCTCTTAAGGAATCTTACACCTCCTTGTGTTTGGGAGGCTTATGCCTTTTACATTCTAAACTATGCCTCATACTATTAGACAGTGTATGCCCTTAACTCTAATCAGAATGATGTACATTATGACATTTATTGTAAATGAATAAAGTACATATTTGATTCATGTTCTTATAGTGTGTTTCTGTGTAATACCTTTAAACTGGACACATATGAGACTCGTGTTAGTTTAGAATGTTCACAGCCGTTGGATAACTCTGAGGAGATTTATCTTGCCATGGCTGACACTGGTGTGCCACCAAGTGTTGGGGTAGCCTATCTCAGCTGCCAAGGTGAGACCCGAGGTACATACAGTGTAGGTTTACTTGAAACCCTGAACCGGACTAGATTTTCAATATTGCCCTGGACCTTGGAGATTGATGGGCAAAACTGGAATGTTACACCTGACCCCTAGACTCGATTATGATACTGCACTAGGTGTCGGATTGGGTTGTCTTTGATGTGGAATTCAGTGAGATCCTTAGAGGGGGTCAAAACCTGGGTGTGTTGGGATAGTCTAAGAATTCAT